ATACAGAATGTGTCTATAATAATGAGACAAACACAGACATTGAGTGTAGATGTCAAAAAGCTGTTATAACCCATTTTACACAGTAATTTTCTGTCTGTTAAATCTAAAAATTTTAAAATTGGGCTTGTCATTTGATAAGTGTTTTCATTCCATTTTTGTTGTAATTCATTTTTATTGTAGTTAAGAAAAATACAAATTTAGATTTTGAATTATTAAGAATTAAAAAAAAAAAAAAACCCAACCCTGGTCATTCATGACAGACAGTTTGAAAAGCATGGACCTGGAGAACCCAGTGAATGGAAGAAGAGCCCTGGCAATATCTGCCCAGTGAGATTTCAGAGTTCAAGTCTGGTATGTGTCTTCCATGCCTCCCCTCTCCAAATTGGAACACTTATTTGTATTTGTCCCTACGCTATCCTATGTATTCAACTGGGAGTGGGAAACAGATAAATTATAATGTCTAGACTGGTTAGAGATTAGCACTACCGGGCATTACTCAGAGATCCTGGACTTTGAACTTGATATAGTGACTGGATAGGATTTGGAGGTTATGTCCACTGGGAGGGCCAAGGATGAACTACAGGTAAGAAGGAGAGTATCTGTTCACAAAAATGGTGGACTGTTCAAATGCTTCTAGTTCTCTACACATGTTAAGATTATACTTCCCCAATTCCTTGAATTAGGTATAGCCATGCCTTGATTTGGCCAATGAAATGTGCAGTGACATATGTAACTTCCGGGAGTTTTTCCTAGTCAATATATTTTCATGACCCACAACACATTTTTCTTCTGCTATGATGAATGATAATACTCAAAATGTAGCCTTCTCTGCTAAACCTAGTCTCAGAAAGAGGACAACATGGGGCAAAGCTCCCAGCTAACCCACAGTGAACACAAATTAAACATTGTTGTGTTAAATCTCTTAAGTCTGGGGGGTTGTTATTACAGTACAACCCAGCCTAGACTTATTGGTTTTAATAACAGCTAAGAGGAAAGTGACTTGAACATAAATACATACACTGTGTTTTCAAAGCAGTAAATATCAAAGAATTCACAGGAAATTGACCCAATTTCCCTGTAGGATAATTCTACAAATGAAGAGGACTCTTTCAAACGCAACAGACTATAACCACAACAGGTGCCAATACCAAAAGAAGGAAGTCATAGGCAAATGTTTACCAATACTACACACATATATCGCCAAACTACATGCAGACTCATACCCTTTGAGCCTAGAGGGGGCCTTCAGTTCAGCAGTATAATGCTCCTGTCAGCACTAATCAGAGTTGGTATGCAAGATGTAACTTTTGCCTCATCCCTAAACTCTAAACAAGTACACCTACCTGTACCATTTAAAAGCTGGTAGGGGCAGGGCGCCTGGGTGGCTCAAACGTTAAGTGTCTGCCTTCGGCTCAGGTCGTGGTCCCGGGGTCCTGGGATGGATTCCTGCATCGGGCTCCCTGCTCAGCGAGAAGCCTGCTTCTCCTTCTCCCACACTTCCTGCTTGTATTCCCTCACTGTCTCTCTGTCAAATAAATAAATAAAATCTTAAAAAAAAAAAAAAAAAAAAGTTGGTAGGGGCACCTGGGTGGCTCAATAGGTTAAGCAGTTCTTGATTTCAGTTTAAGCCCCACATTGGGCTCCATACTGGGCATGGAGACTACTTAAAAAAAAAAAAAAAAAAAAAAGTTTGGAAAAAACGTGTGACATTTAACTAAGGACAAATACAAGAGAGTGACAAACACTGTGAGTTGGAACAATGAAGCTATAGTACAAAAAAGGTTAAAGCTTGCAAAATGAAACACTAAATAAAAGGCAACAAAATCTGGGGGCCCTGGGGTTGTTCAGTCGGTTAAGCAACCAACTCTTGATCTCAGCTCAGGTCTTGATGTCAGGGTTGTGGATTTGGCCCTGCATTGGGCTGCACGGTGGTCGTGAAGCCAACTTAAAAAAAAAAAAAAAAAAGGCAACAAAATTTTGCTCAGCACCAAAATACTGAGAGTCCCCAGAGGGCAAAGAGGAGGAAGAATTTCAACAGAAAAACATTCATCTTCCTGCTAGTGAGGGGTAGGGGAAGGATCTGCCTTCCAGTGTTCCACAGCTGGAGCAGCTGGTGACTCTCTACAGTTAGAACAATCCCATTTTGGGATTGGGTCCTGTTTATAATAAAACTTGGCAAGTAATGTACCCTCCTAGAAAACAATATTCAACCACTCTGCATTTGGACACATTTCAAATTTTAGAATATCAAGCAGCAAGCTTTTCTAGACGACCTTGGTTAGTTTCCCTTGATAGACTTAAATTTCCCTTATGATTAACCATAAAACTAAAAGTTTTCTCTCTCAAGAAAAAGAGGAAATTAACAACTATATACCAAGTCTGTGGGCATCATTCTCTGAGAAAAGACACATTTCATATTTTGCAACAAATGGAGCATATAATGCTTACAAACTTCCTGTAAGAACATTCTGGCAAAAATTAGCTTATAGTTTAGTGCTACTACTGGAGAAAACCTGCTCATTGAACCAGCTTTAAATAAACTCTCGATTAGATATCACCAAAGTTTATCATTTAAGGGGCACCTGGGTGGCTCTGTGGGTTAAGCCTCTAACTTCGGCTCAGGTCATGATCTTAGGGTGCTGGGATCGAGCCCTGCATCAGGCTCTCTGCTCAGAAGGGAGCCTGCTTCCCCCTTTCTCTTTGCCTACCTCTATGCCTACTTGTGACCTCTAAAAACAAAACAAAACAAAACAAACAAAAAAAAAGTTTATCATTTAAGATTCAATGGAAGCAATAAAAGGAGTCAACCTCTCTCTACTTCAGAGCTTCTTCAAGGCAGTTGGGGCAAATCCCCTATCTGCAGCCCTCATGCACCCCCAAAAGAGGAAGAAGGAAAAAAAAAAACTATCTGGACATGCTCTGAAATAAAAAAGTTAACAAGCAAAGACCTCAAACTAGTATGGGTACTATCCAGATGTTGTTTACCATAACTTTGAATAGAGAATACCAGAGAAAAAGAAAACCAGTTCATGGTGAAAGTCTATTCGTGAACGAAACATGTACCTCATCATTATGGAAGATACAAAAATAGGCATGTCAGGGAACAGGAGGTTCTCCTGATTTTGATGAGTGCCTAAAATCACAGAACTCTGAGTTCCTGCTTAATTTACAAGCTTAAGGGGCACCTGGGGGGCCCAGTGCATTAAGAGGCTGCCTTCAGCTCAGGTCACGATCCCAGGGTCCCTGCTCAGTGGGAAGTCTACTTCTCCCTTTCCCTTGCGCTCATGCTTGCTCTCTCTCAAATAAATAAAATCTTTAAAATATAATAATTTCCCTTTCAAAAAGCAAATTGCAAGCTAAAGCACACAACTGCTTAACTCAGACCTATTTCTTTCAACAAGTTGTACCCTGCTCTAGGCTACACTGTACACCCTGCTGGGCTGAATGTTTTATCTGAGAGACCCACATAATTATGCCAAGCCTAAACATCACAGTTTGTCAATATACCTATAAAGAATCCAAAACACATCAGCATCTGGTGCCTGGGTGAAGCACTGTCCCAGACTCTGTAGTACAAAATAGACTTTACAGTTCCCTGTGGATCACTTAGCTAGGAAAGAAGGTAGCAAACTCTTCTTACACAAAGCGTTAGGACAAAGAATGGTAAGTTACCGAAGGCTGAGTCTTGGCTGCACCAGTAAATGTAGCAGTGACTTTCAAAAGGATACTGAATTTGTGACGTGCCACTCACTCTAAAGAGAATATAAATTGTTTTCTCATCATTCTGCATTACTTTGCTCATTTTATTGCCAAACGCTAAAAAGAAAAAAATCAGCAAATGTCGTCAGTCCAACACACGTTGGAAGATCTACTCCTCGCTATGTACAGCCATAACATAATATAGCATTTGTTTTGTACCTCTCTGAGCCTCAAGAAGAGCGCCACCATCCACCAAGTACAGGACCATATACGTGGAATTTAAGCACAAACTACTCTACTTTTTTCTCCCTAGACATTCATCAGACTTACAGTTATTTTTCTGCCTTTTTCCCTACACTTGTGCTCAGAGCATCCTTCCAAATTCTAAGTTTCAAAGACCCACATTCCCCCCATTCACATCTCCTGTGGACATCCATCTCATCCTAATATCACTCGTCCTCCTCCGAGGAAGAAGTTTGCTTAAAGCTTCAGTTCACTCTTCTCATTCCGTCCCCTCTCCTCACAAAGGGCTCACGTTTTTCTCGCTGCTCATGCTGGGGGAAAAGAAGAAAGCAAAATGCCCCTCAGAAGGATGCAGGTGAGGCCCTTTTAAGCCAGACCCCAGAGCTCAGTGGAGCAGCCCTTGCTGGGGGACAGCCGCCAGGCTGAATCCCCATCCCGGCAGGCAGAAACCACAGCCCCTTCAAGGAAGGACCTCCGCTGCCACTCACCTGCCCGAGACCTGCGGCAAGACCTACCCAGAGGAACCCAGACGGTTCCCGCGGCCGACAGTGCCCGCCACGTGAAGAAGAGGCAGAAGGTGGGGCCCCCGCCGGCTGGCGGGCAGCGACGAACGGCAGCGCCTACCTACTAGGGTGCAGCACACCCAACCTCAGCGCCTGTGGCCACCACCGCACGGTGGGGTCGGCCTGCTGAGCAAAAAACAACCCCAAGGCTCCTCCCCCTCCTCGTGCTCCCTACGTGCGGCCTCTCCAACCAATGGAAAGCTCAGGGGGAGGAGCGAGAGCCGCCCCAGGTGACAGGCGACCACCGAGTCCTCCCGCCGGCGCGAGCTGGCCGTGCAGTTGCTGGGCCAATCGGCAATGTGGGTGGGGAGTAAAAGGGAGGGAGAAAGTGAGGAAAGCGGATGCCCAATCAGATCTTGGAGCCTTCGAGCGACGGGTCCTGTGGCCCGTGGCCTTCCGAGCGCGGTGCGCAGGGGGCGTGCCCGCCTGGGCCAATCGGCGCGAGCCCACGGTGCGGAGCGAGCGCCTCAAATGCTCGGGTTTCTCAGCTGATTGTCTCCAGCCGAGAGTTGTTTTTTGCAGCTACCGAGCGGAGCCGCAGCAGGAGGAGCCGAGACCCCCCGGGGGGGCGGGGAGAGGAGGCGGGGTCCGGGGAGCCGCGGCTGCTCTGCGCGGGGCTCCGGGTCCTGTCACGGCGCTTCCTGGGGTTGGAGGTTGGGGTGGGTGGGGGGTAAGGGGGAAATCTTTCTCCCCCTCGACGGCGGCTCTGAGTCCGGCCCCTTCCTTCCCGCGCTCTCTCTTCTGACCCCCAGCCCCCTCATGAGGGTGTCCGTGCCGGGTCCGGCTGCCGGCCGCGAGCCCTCGACGCCCGGAGGCGGAGGCGGAGGCGCCGTCGCTGCCGCCTCAGGCGCCGCGGTGCCGGGCTCGGTGCAGTTGGCGCTGAGCATCCTGCACGCCCTGCTCTACGCCGCGCTCTTCGCCTTTGCCTACCTGCAGCTGTGGCGGCTGCTTCTGTACCGGGAGCGGCGGCTGAGTTACCAGAGCCTCTGCCTCTTCCTCTGTCTCCTGTGGGCAGCGCTCAGGACCACCCTCTTCTCCGCCGCCTTCTCTCTCAGCGGCTCCCTGCCCCTGCTCCGGCCGCCCGCTCACCTGCACTTCTTCCCCCACTGGCTGCTCTACTGCTTCCCCTCCTGTCTCCAGTTCTCCACGCTCTGTCTCCTCAACCTCTACCTGGCGGAGGTAAGGCGGGAGGACCGGCATGCGGGGCCGGGCGGGTGAGCGGGGCTGCTGCGATCAACTCGGGCTGAGGATCGGCGGGGGGGCGGGAGGGGGAGGGGGACCGGGCAGTTCGAGGCGGACCCGAGAGCAGCTTGGGGAAACTGAGGCACGCCTGGAATGTGCGCCAGTGTGCTCACCCTAAACTTAAGCGGCGGATTGACTCGGTTCCTGAGAAGCTGGCGGGATTGAGTGAGTGAGAGTGTGGGTTCCGACAACTTAAAACAGGACAACCCTTTGTTCGGTGTTTTGGCCCTCCAAGGTAAGGTGTTGGTGGCACCAACAAAGTGGCATCGCAAGAAGTAGCAGCCCCGGTAGCTCTGCCGAAGCTGGACTGTGTTGAGAGAGGTTGGATGCTGAGGTAGCAGCAGCTCTGCTGAAGCTGGACTGCTGCCAGCCATTACGTCACCAGGCAGAGCTGTTCCTCTGCTATTGTTGCTGCGTTTCTTTTATTAGAAGCTTATATTCCCTCCTGCATCTCCTTTCCTGTGGCTCGATAAGCCTCAAACAAATTCCGTTCGATAGTTCCCCAGCAGGGTTAATGATCAATAACCAAAGCCGAGGGTCAATATAAAGACCTCCATAAAGCTCTTAATGTTTGCCCCACTTGCTCCGAGCTTTGGCTATTTATCCTGCCTCTTACAGCCTACTGGGGTTTTCTTGGAGCTAATTAAGATAGAAAATACTAGCTTAACCTGTGACTGTTGCAGAAACAAACCACTAAACTGTTTTTGCAATAACTTGCTTAATAGCTGGAACCTAATCACACCCCCTTTCTCTCTTATGGGGAATTGCTGGTTAGATTGCATTGTTCTGCAGCGCTTAGGTATTTGACCCATTTCAAACAGGTTTGAGAGTGTAAGGTTGTCAATCAGGTGTGTCAGCTAGTGGTATTTAAGCCACAGAATTTTGAGAATCGCCCAAAACACTCCCTCTCCCCTCCCCCCACTTAAAAAAAAAAAGACTTGAGGAGGGGAGGAAACAAGGTGACATCATATGCTTAATACTGACTAATATAGAACAATATTGGTCTATGCAGCTAATCCTCTCAAAGGCTTTTGGAGGTGATGAGAATTAACATAGTTCTGAGCAAAAGTAAAAAAACATTTGAGGCAGGTTGTTTATATTTCCTTCATAAACCAACTCTTTTCTCCTATAATAGATGGAAAGTAGAATGCATAATTTTCAAATTACAGTCATAACTTCAGCTTTTTACCACATTAAAAACAACAGTTGAAAATAAATAACAAAACTAATTTAACTTGAATTCTTTTCCTTCCCCATACTTTGGAAGTCCAAGCAAAAATAAGGCAAAACCCAAGCAGTGAAAAGCAAAAATTAAAAAAAAAAAAAAGGGCAATCATAAGCCAAATAATTATGCCAGAGTCCTGTCACTTATTTAATGATGCTCTCATCTCGAGTTGTTGTTAAAGCTGTTATAGCATTTCTGTCCTTTATAGTTAAATTGATACATTGTATTCTTCCTGACACCATTTCTGATAGAATACCAGTGACCGCTCATTACTGAAGCTTAACTCTAGTTTCAGATATAATTTATCTGAAAGTGACCAGTAATCCTTATGCCATAAGCATCAGATAATTTGTTTTTCCGTATACATTTTGACTTATAAAATTATATTAATGATTCCTGTAAAAGAGTAGGCATTTCATAAAGTAACTAAACACTCCTTTTTTACATTTTTTGGAGAAATAAGTTATGCCATAGGACATAAATCTGAAGGATACAGATATGAAATTTTATGTATGCTTACATTCATGTTACCACCCGGATTAAGATAAACAGCATTTCTGGTGCCCCAGGATATTCCCTTGTGCCCTCTCCCAGTCACACTTCTCACCTTGATGTAATCACAAAGTGGCTAAACACTATTGCAATAGAAAAAGCATTTATAGTTAAGCTTAAAATTCTAAAAGTATGCTTCTACAGCATAAACTGCATGATATCTAGATTGAGTTTTCATACTTATAGACTGATATTCCAAGGGAAGATTTTAAGTGTCTAAAAGTCTTCCTGTTAAATGAATCTTTTGTGTGATGTCAAAACGCAATAAAACTCAATAAACCTAGAAAATATAATTGGAAAAGATAGATTAAAACTTTTTCCTTTCACAGTGTCTCCTAAAAAGAGTGTAGTTTGTCTATACTCGTCTTTTCATGATCACATTAACAATTTTAAGACCCATAACTGTACTTAACAAATTTCCAACTGTTTAAAGAGTGATATCTTGACTAGAAATCCTTTCCCTATTCATGAGAAAAAATCCAGAGGAATCTGTATTTAAAAGAATATTTGAATTTAAATTTTTATATCAGTTCCAAGTAACTGGAAGTATACTTTCCATTGATCATTCTGAATTAATGAAACTCAGTGAGTTCTTGGTATTACAGAAGTATAGTAAGGATCTATCTGGTGACAACAAAACTAACACTTGACTTTTTTTTTTTTTTTAACTAAAAGGCCCTATATCTGTTTCAAATAGTTGTACTTCTAGATTACCAAATCACTCTGTCTTTACTATCTGTCATTAAATACCAATTACATTTTGTTTTTGGCCTCTTTAAAGCATTTGTTACATACATTTCTTATAATTAAAAACATTCTAACTTTAAGGACTTACTTACAAAGAACCATGGAGCAGAATACAAATAAAGTTAGAAAAACAACTATTACTCCTTTGAATGCATTTTGGTGGTTCTTCCAAAACTCATTAAGTTTTCAAAAAGTTAAGACTGCCTAAGTCACTCTTTTGTTGACTACACTTGAGTGGAATTGAGATAAGGAGAAGTAACCCTTCTATTGAAATAATTAGACTTTTCAACTTAATCTCCTGAAAGCAGATACTTGAGGGGGGGCGGAATCCCACTGTACACTAATCTAAAAACACCTACTGAACTTTTTTTGGCATGATCAATAGAACATGTACTTTACCAGAGAAAGGTTCTACTCCTGTACTTTGACCAGAAAAGACTTCAATCTTTAAAACAGATAATCTGAAAAAAACTGATGCTACCTACCACTGGAACAAGTAAAAGGACTTAAGATAAGAGTTAATAGTATACTGCCTTTTGAGCATTGTTATATATCCCAAAATCAATGAATTCATTTTCAAGGCCCATATTGACATTTTTTCTCACAGTTTTGTAGCATGAATGCCAGTTGTTTAATCAGGATAAATATGGTGACTTAATCACAATGCCAAAATGCCACAATGCCAGCTAGGAAAATTAAATTCAGAATCTTAACTCTTATATTCATGGATGCTATCATTGTTCTGACAATGAATACATTCTTCCAAATATTGGTGATATGTCAAATAATGTGTAGTTTAATTTAAATGTACTTGGGTTTCATTATAATGTTCTGTGATTTGTCACAAAAGCATTTGGCCACCTAACATGGAAACTCCTTAAGATTAAGTTAATTTATTATATTTTTATCTCATAGCAACTAGATCAGTGGTGAATATATTATCAAATGATATTCTTGAAAAGGCCAAAACTAGAAAATATTTAGCCATCTAAAATTTGGGGGTTAACTTGATTTTGATGAACATTTTGTGGTAAATTATTTGTGTACTTTCTGGGATCTTTATATTTTCTGCCTTAAAGATCGCCTGTTGGTATGAATGCTAAGATTCTCTTAGATTATCATGATTTAATTGGATAAAAGTTAATTTTTATTACCACGGGTAAAGTATTACTAATGAAGACACTTGAATAATATTCAAGTTTTGCTTGGCAAAACTATTTTTACATCACAGCAAATGGCCCATAGTAATTAGGTCTTTGCTAATTTGGCTTCAACAAATTCTGTTAAATAAGTCTGTAAAACAAATAAGTTTCACATCATGACTCAATTACTATTTGCTGGAAATAGTGATTTAGTTCAATGCTGGATTTTTATAACAATTGTCTTCACAACCACCGTGATATAGGTAGATACAAACAGGGTGTGATTTGTCCAAGGTTATTAGGCTAATATGTATCAGATATAAGGCTACCATATACCCAAAGGCTATAAATCTTATCAAGTGATCCATCCTTATGAACTTTACTGGGTACCATCAACTCTTTAATATTTAGTGCTTTACTATTTCATTTGCTTTCCCACTTTCCCCCATTTCAAACCTTTTCTGTCTCCAGCAAACTATTTCTTGCCCCTTCTTTCTCAGCATATGACTCTCAGCTCCTAGTTTATAGAAGAAACGAGGGCCATCTGGCTGAACAACAAGATTCAGAAAGATACCTTAAAATGCTGCAAAGAGTATTTAATCTTTTCAATGAAAGATTGAGCTAATAAGTGAGGAAGTTCCTCAGAAGCAAAAAACCATACACAAAACAAAAGAAGTGAATGCAGAATACCACACAGATGTGTGTCATGGGGGTAGGATTGGTTCTTAGCTGCTTCCTGCTGGCTTAAAGGCTGGATTTTAAATTTTATGTGTTGGGAATCTGGGAAGGTGACATTGGAGGCATTATCTTATGGTGAGGTTTGATCAGAGACTTCATTTCCCTCCAACTTAATCCCAGAATTCTCAAAGTGTATATCTTCAGTGGATGGGCTTGGAAAAATAGCAGATTCCCAAAGGTTAATGATGGTCTTTGTGCCTATCTCTGCCTTGGTTCTGGGTGAAGGAGGTACATATTGGGAAAGAAAAGTCTCCCCTGAGAACACATAACAAGTTTATTCTCACACCAGTTTAAAGCCTGAATTCACACCACTTTTGTGACCTTGGATGAAAAAATAAATAAACCCCAATCTGAAAATGTAGTTTAATGGTATCCGGGCTTGATAATAACCTCAAGAACGTGGAAGGAGCCAATGCAAATCATTTGTTGAGGAGTATAATTTAAACCCAGAATCCTGACAGATAAGATTTTATAGAACATGAGCTCAGAATGAAATAGTACACTATGGAATCTACTTACAAAAATTAAAGATA